CCTTCGGGTTTACACTGGATATGGGGTATGTGGTTGGAGCTGTGGGTGGTGCAGCGCAAGCCATCCATGGTCCCTCTGTAGGCGCAGGAGTCCTGTGGCTTGCCACAGTGACAGGCAAATCCGAAACCGGATGCCGTCAACCATGTATATAGACCGCCGGCGTCGGATGGACCAATATTTCCTCCAACATACGAAACAACCAGTCTGTATTTAACAGTTGGCATTGTGCTACAATACTTGAGTAAAATCAACAACCAGCGAAAATGTTAGGAAGGTTTATGCGTTGCGTTGATAGTGAGCTTCCCGGTTACTCAGGTCAGGGAAGAGGATTGACTTAAGGGACCTAACCCCGAGCCTTTGGTCTAAAAGACCTGATCCGCAAGACAGCGGGGCAATTCACGCAGGTTTATGAATACGAAGACCGTTGACAACCAAGTGGCTCATTCGCCTTCATTGTATTCGGTAGCAGTGCCCACAGAGGCCGGTGGCCAGCGAGGTTGCTCATCCGCTCTCCATTAGGTACTCATCTCTGGGTACAAAAGTGAGTGGTCAGCGACCCTATAGCCGGTCACACTGGCTTTGACTCAGCGCTAAACGACCTCCTGTGGTATTTGATGAAGAACCAGGTGACCAGAAAAGAACTCCCTAAGCTTTAAAACGCTGTTGCTGATTGTCCGCGACAGCTTATTCATCTCGCTTGCAAAGCAGACGAGCTTTATTCACAGCTGCCTCCACAAGGAAGGAATTCCTCGATCCGCCATCTGGGGACGCGTTCGACAGCTTTCAGTTCCATCAGGATGAAGAAACTTTGATACTGGGAGCATTAGTGGTGGTTCGCTTGGGTTCGTCCAATTGCTTTTTTGATTGTGACATATTGCTTTTTCCTTCCAGGGCAGGTGCCCCAGTTATAATACAATCCGGTGAGAACGCCGAAAAAATGAGACACTGTAAAGGTAGATCAATATGACTATAAAATAGAGTAGAGTGCGTTGGTGGGATATGAGAGCAACAAAGGAACCTTATATTTAGCCTTCACCTTTACTGTTTTGTCCTTCTCCTCCTAATCGTACAAGAATGTTGCTCTGAAAGGCAAACGGGTAAGTACCGTCAAGTTAACAATCTTCCGTTACATAAACATATAGCACGTTTCATCTTGTAGTTAGCTTAGATCGGTTTAATCGCATAGACGGTATCCGACGTAGTAGTAATAGTGGTGAGAAGTGGCTATACAAAAGAAACTCTCCACTTTACATCTGAACTCCAGCATAATGTATAGATACAGGTTTCAGTAAATCTTAGCCGTGTTTCCAAAGTTACCGGTTTGGCTCCTTTTGGCTTAAATACCACTATGTTCACATATAGTGCTTTAGCTCGATAGTTGTCTAGCTTCTAAACCATAAACATTGAGAATCTCGGCAGACCGATGTTCAATCGCTCACGCATTTGCTGGACGAATTGTTCATCTGACCAGTTTATTGATCCATTCGAATTGGCACAGTTAGCCAACCTTTCGAATTGTCCACCTGAGGGCATTACACCATCTGCACCCAGATGGCCCAATGGATTTCGCCATTCACTGTATTATTGTTTATGCACAACCTCAAAAGGACAGCCACACAGATAGAGTGTAACACTATGCACCTATTCGAGTTCTTTCTAACGTATTCCAACGTCACAAATGATGATTATGCGGCTGTAGGCATGGCTTACCATTCGCAACAGACCGAGACTCCCCAGTGGATAGCGTACACAGTCCGTCAGCCCATCATAATTTCCAGTGTAATCACTATGGACATTGTGACTGGGAGGAAGTTGCAGAGCTGCCAGGTCCGTAAGAACAATGCTGAATTTTGTTGTATACTCAGTGAACAGCCACAAGGAGACCACGATCCTCCTCAATGCACCGATGACGTCTTAGTCTATAACACCAATTACGAGGAGTTGGAATATGATGTGATATATAAGAAACGGCAGGGCAAGATTGATTTTGCTAGATCGTTTATTCGCTTCGACTTGGAAACATCAAAAGGGCTGGTTAGTTACATGTCGAATCACGAAGGCAGAGATGGTCGAGTGGTCTGTCCGCAGTTCGCGCGGCGATACTGGAGCCAACCACCAGAGCTGGCGGATTGGTTAACAAATGCACCGAATCCTGGCTTTATTAACTGGGGTAACCTGGTGCCAGCTGTGCCAGTTGTAGAATTCAATCAAGTGCATATACGAGTGTTCGGATTTGCCACCACGGATCACATTTACCGAGCTTGGCAAATCAGTTATAACCCACTATATAAAGACTTTCAAATGACGAAAATCCCATGGACTATGGATACCGACCTAGATACAGAAGATGGTCTGATGGGACAATTGACACGAGCCATTCAGTGGCATCCAAACTACCGTCAGAACCTACGTGGGTGGAGAAGTACTTTTCAAGTTAAGCGACATGCACGTGCCTTCGTGCTCCTTCTCAGTGAATCACTTGAGATGGACGAAGAAATTAATCAGTTGATGCAGGCGTGGATCGTGCTAGACAACAAAGGGAGGAAATTTGTTTGGCCAGCTACGATACAATCACCTGCTATTCGTATTGTTGGACTGAGAGTGATGAGAAAGGCAGTGTTGCAAGAAGGGGAGACCAAAATATTTTGGGCTGAAAAGGAGCACATCCGCGCAGATTCAAAAGTAACATGTTACAAACGCCAAAATTTCACACACCAGTATGCAATGACAAAGCGTGTTATTGTCAGTCCTGGCAAACCGTATTTTGAAATTCGAAATCTGACCATCTCGGATAGTGGAATGTACAAGTGTACTGCAACCTCAGAGAAGTCTCCCGAGTACCAGTTTTTCTCAGACTACTACATCATTGTCCTACCTCGTGAAATGGATGTACAGAACTACCTGACGCAAAGACCACTGAAAACGACAGATCCCGTTGAGGACAACTATCAGTACGTAGACGTGATGAATCGATCATATTTTATCGGTAGCAATCCTATATATGTCAATTGTGTTTATTTACTATCCACCGGTCTGGACAACTACAACGGCTACCGAACGTATCGTGATGGAAAGGCACTGGCGTCGTCCAAAATGATAAGTGAATTCCATCGATATTATGCAACACTCATTCTGACAGTAAGGACATTTGAAATGCTACCAGACCGCTCAAGTGATCCCGTCACCACGAAGGTGACGTGCGCTCACCACTACAAACCCGATCTGGACACTGTAAAGCAATATCCACTGGTGCCAACTCAACTGACTCACATTAACAAAACGCGAACATTGGTTACGGCGGGACACAGACCGCCTCTTATTGTGACCGCGTCCATCTGGACCAACAACCCGGACCTAACGGAGCGCCTTCGGATGTCAACACTTACTCTAGATGATCTGTACGGAATGCCACATCCGCAGATTCCATGGAGCAAGGTGGCAGTGGGTGTGGTAAGTGGGTCCTTCATCGTGTTGGTCAGTGCCAGGGGCGGTTGGGGATCCGTGTCCATGTGTGTCAGAGACACGCAACAGCAACAGCTGCATCGATGGCCGTGCGCTTTGACAACCTCATTACTGACATTGTGGGCAAACGACCCACTTCTGACGGAGCCGGAACTAACGCAATCACACACTCTGGTCGCCATGAGGTTCCAGTTTGAGTGCATAATGGCAATGGGTCGGGAGAGCTTGATTTTTGGGGTGTATAACCCGAAGAAAGACAATGTGAACATGACACTGGTGGAGCAAACCACTCATGATCAAATCGAAGCGATACTCACCCAGCATTATGGCGAGGAGAGCAGATTTGGAGTGGACAGGCATGAGGAAGTATCTGCCACATTTAGATTAGTTCGACTACTAGTCAGATGGCATGGAACCGTCTATCCGGGTGCGACAGTTAAATTGAGTTGGCGCTCAGCGCAGCATAAGACGGAAGAATTGAAATGCTTCTATAGCATAGACGAAACGGCAACGCTGGTGGAACTTGGGTCTGAATTCAAGTTTAGCTTGGAGAACGCTGAATCAGTGCTAGAAGTTTCGAAAGAGAACGTCAACGAACAGGACTCGGGGCTCTATCGATGTGCTCCATGTCGCAACTGCTCGGCTCTCAACGAAGCAGTGGTGTACCGCCTGGTCGTATTGCCCGATTTGTCCCAACTACGAATCTCATTAGACTATGGAAACGCCCCTCATATTAGCGGTTCAGGTACTTTAGAGGATCCAATTCGGACTGAAGCGCGGCACTTGAAAGCCATTTGTTCTTACATGGCCTATCGCGGTTTACGAGGACAATTTGAAATGACCCACTCATACGAAACTGCTATCCCTAACAGCACTGAGCATTTCCCACTGGAAACTCAGTTGGGTAGGAAGAAAATGGATGTGGTTGATGATTATTATCGCCTAGTACACACGTTTGTCTTTCAAAAGCCCAGAGCACAAGAATACTGGGCCTACGTTCGTGCCAGCTGTCATCTATCGTTCAGTAATGTGACACGGGATCCCCTCGATATTTTAGATGCCTCCCCAAACATTACTGTAACAAAAAGCATCTATTTAACGTATAAATTATCTCGCGGCCCAGTCATCTTGACTGGCTTCATGGAAACAAATCTAACATCACTGACTGCCGAACTGCAGGGCAATGAGTATTTTTCGGTTGACGCTGTCCCCTTACTGCGACCAATACGCGAATCTGAAACCGCTGTCACAGTGAACTACACCATATTCATGGGGTTACCAAAGGGAGCTACAAGAGTGTGGGTTGTTGTTCATCTGGACGATGATTATCACGCTTACGATTGTCATCTGGTGCACAGTACTGAGCTCGACGATTCTCATATGACCACGAACTTGGTGTCTAGCCCAATCTTTCGGGCGAATAGAGGCATCAACTTCTTCCGACAGGAGTACGCCTGCCTGCTAGAGATTCACACAATCCTTCTCGTGGTCAGTACATATGAATATATGCAAGATCAATCAACAGATGCTCTGGATGCGAATCTGAAATATAGTGTTGTCACGCGGATGAAAAATCATAACGAAATGATGGAGAGAAGGCATCCATCTGTGACAAATGCAACAATTAATCTCAATAATACTACCACTTTCAGGGCTGCTCGATTATCTATCGTTTGGCATGCATCTCTGCAGGTGGGTCAATCGGCCAGTATGCTGGGTCTCCAAGCCCCACTCGCAAATCGGCTACAGTGCTACTACAGTAGAAGCGATCGAGGTGGGGCATTTCTACCTATTCGGGAGTATCAAACAGATTACCACGAGTGGAATGCGTTTATATTTCAAAAGCGGTTGTCTAATGTTCAATATGCCCAATCTGGCACCTACAAGTGCAACACATCCCAGCCGTGTGTTGGCTGCGTCCCCCTGGTGGGCATCGTCCCAAGACAGATGGTCGTCCTTCCAACTGAGTCTGTACTCAGCATGAAGCTGAGTCTTGAACCCCTTCCGTCGCATGCTTTGTCAGTTGAACGGTTTGACCAATACACAGCCGACGGTGTACCATACTTAGAGAGCGGACAAAAAGCAATTGTTCAATGTATATACGAGATTTCACCGATCGAACGCTTACAGGCAGAACTGACAGTCTCCTTTGAGATCTTTGATCCGAACAGAGGACGAACAAAGCACTTGCCTGTGAAGGTGCGTCAGAACGAGACCAAAACAGTCGGTGGAGACACGCAATTTGCAACTGTAACTTATATGATACAGGCGCCTTATATGCACCAAATTCTATCACGAATTGAGTGTCGCTTAACGTACCGTCCCGGTCGAATACCGCATGATGCGGCTTCACCGGTGGGAATAATGCAGATTGCAAAGTCCAAAGACATTCTCATTTTCATCAGCGAAGCTCCAGACCTATTATTTGCTTACGTGGTCACGAAACGGAGAGAAATCGTGGCCAACTGGAAACCCATGTCACTGCAGGGAGCAAGCGCAATTGAGTTCCACAGTTCCAGCTCTGTGAATGCCATCGAGGAGGACATCGACTACTTCCATTGCATACAATCGCTAGGTATGCCAAAAGGGGTGTCCAAAGTATGGACAGTGTATCAGTACGAAAAAAAGTTGGATTACGATGAGTGTCGGATGACGCAAACAAGGCAATTGAGAAAGGACGAAACGCTGTTCTTGGAACATCAAGCTCCCATAGAGGATGACCGCCGTAATCTTGTCAACAACACATACTCCTGCGTACTTCAACCAAGACACATTGCCATTATATTCATCATATACAATGCTCTAGAGGAAAATGCCAAGATCCAAGAAGCAGAGACACAGATGATCAGGTCGCTCCTGTACCACATAAATCAATGGCTGAGTGAACCTCTGAATCCCGAGCGGCTCAGAATAAAGGCGCCCGACCATCTACGTGTTACCTATGAAGTAATCAAACTAAACATCAAGTGGAGGAACGTAGTCGCTATCGGTAGTCCTTGGAGGATACTTATCAGAGACTTTCCCACACCAAACGTGAGCCTTACTATATTTTATCAGAAAAACAAGTATGATCGAGGAATCCCATGGGCTCATGTGGTAGGGGGAATAAACGGGACTTTCGTAGGATCAAGCAACGCCAGATTAAATGATTCCGGCGTCTACTCCTGCGTCGTTGTCACCGGATGTGATGACTGCCGGCTGAAAAAGTGCTTCTTGCCCAGGCGCCTGCTAATCATGCCCAACTCGTCCATGCTGCAAATGTACCTGCACGAACGCCTAGTTGAGCAAAAGCAAATGTTCAATGATGAACTACCCAGTAATCGGGTCGGCACTGGACAGACATTCTACACTTATTGTGTCTACACAAAACCGAGTATATTTAGTTCCGACGAAGAATTAACGTTTCGAGTTGAATTAGAGCCGACTTCCACAGAACCGCGAAGATTGTTCACTCCTGCTCCACTACAGTACCTTCGTGAACACACACCGCATGGAATCAGTGTTGCAGTTGTGTTTAACTTTACAGCACCAAGAACTAGCGAAACACAAAGTATTTTGAATCTTGAGTGCATACTGCAATACGATCATTCCAACTTGGATGCATCGGGTCTGTTCACTGCAAAGCTACTGCGACCGATTCACGCCAGACGTCAAATAAAAATCAGCCTACGTTTAAAACCCGCTATATTTCTGCAATACACCAGTGCTGGTGATTCAAAAGTGTTGAAGTGGCTGTCCACCTCATTATCTGAACCGCTCAGCCCGGCAGCATTTCATAGCACACGGCCGGATTTCTTGATTCCTGAAGGTGAGCTGTGGTTTAGCATACTTGCTTTCCACGGTGTACCTAGGGGGTGGATCTACGCCACCTTGTTCGTTGCGCATAATGGCACCTTCTTCGAGGAAGTTTGCATAGTTGATAGGCAGAATAACTTGACTCAGTACTCGATCCCGCATGATGTGATCAGAGACCCCGCTGTACAACAAGCGCGCGCGATCGACTCCATCGTTTGGACCAGATTCCAATGTAATGTCCGTGTAGAACATTGCTGCCTAGTCATTCTAGTGTATGCAGATATTTCTGGTGCGAGCCGAGAGCAGATGCAAACTGAGTACGTGAGTGCGATTACATCGTGGCTACAAAAAGTTTTCGCTGATCCAGAAAGTAAGGACACGCTAATCGTGGGAACTTCGTCACCCTCATTTGTTGTGTACGTAGCTGCCAGGATAACCGTTGGATGGCAAGCCTCGGTGTCACCCGGTGACACGATTCGCATGACTGGCCACATTACGTCAGTGAGGGATCAGCTGAATTGTTCTTATCGTCCGCAAATGAACGCAAAGCTAGAACCACTTCCTACAGGATTTAGTTTCGAATACCTGCGGTATCCGATCACCTTCGATCTAGTCAAAACAAATGCAAGTCTCGAAGATGCTGGTATTTATTCTTGTACATTCACGCAAAGCGATTGTGTTCAATGTATGCCGCGGCCAAGCATCATCGACCGTCGATTGGTCGTTATTCCAGACTCATCTGCTGTCTACATATTCCTCACACACAAAGCACTGAGCGTCATCGATAGCTGGACTGCCAATTATACAGTGTGTGATGCGGATAGCCAGCCAATAATGTATACGGATTCAGTGAACTACGTCAACTGCCTACACCAAAACCTCCCCAATGCGTGGCTAACACCGACAGTAGAGATACGTCCCCGGGTGGTGGATGGAGAAAGTCAGGATGAAGTGGTAATTTTACGTCGTTTAACACCCCTATCCAATGCACACCATATGGTGCTGAACGCGGCACAAGTAGAACTGCTTCAAATTCGGGATAAAGAAATTGCCTTGATCCTAGAATGTCGATGGCACTTCCGTTATCCGGAACACCCACAACATGACTTGACATTGCGTGATTCAACCATCACTTTGTCACAATCAAAACTGATTCGTGTTTTACTTTTACTCCGGCCAATAATCTACCATCAATCAGTCGTGACCAGTGATTCTTCGGTGCAGACACTTTTGCGCACCCTCCAAATAGAGACAACAAAATCCACGGAATTTCATTCGACCTCACGCACTGTGATGATGGACGAGTCAACCGTTGAGATGCATCTCCCACTTGCACTAGGTGTGCCATTAGGCTGGTTCCAAATGTGGACGTATTACCGATACAGAGATGCGTTAGTGTATCAGAGATGCATATACATCAAGGTCATCAACATGACGGAAACAGCCAAACGAAACGTGAATCGAGAGGCGCAACAACAAGTGAATCCAGCAATGACCTATGTCAACGTGTCCTTTCTGTGTAATCTTCGTTGGGAACATGTTGCCATGATTTGGATAGTACAACATGTCACTGAGGCAAAGTTTAACCAAACCGAGGTGCTACAAGCCCTAGAACGTTCGTTAGCGCATAGCGTTGCCCATTGGACCATGAGCCCTCGACACAGAACTAGTGTACAGCTAAAGCAGCACAAAGGTTCTTACGCCACCTACCGACTTGTTAAGTTGTCTATTCATTGGCAAGAGGTCTACCATACTGGTGAGCAGATAAGGATGCTTGGATTTTCTCCCGGAAACTACACAGTTATTCGTTGTTATTATGCGCAAAATGGATTATTTCAACCTCTAAGTGCCTCTCGGGGGTTTCGAGTGACAATAATACCGGGTAGAGCAAGCTTTCAACTAGCTAAACCCACAGTACAGTTCTTCGACTCAGGTGAGTACACGTGTAATGTGACAAGCAAACAGTGCAGCGACTGTACCCCTGAGATCGGATTTGCACCGCGAACGGTGATAGTGGAGCAAGATGCCAGTCTAGTTCGCCTCTTCCTGAATCACAACCTGAAGGACAAAGCCGAGGGGCATTTCGTTCAGTGCACACAGGATCACAGGCCATATTTGTTAGATCAAGAAGTCGCTTATGTCTACTGTTCATTTCGGAACGTTTTGAGGAACTCCTCTGGTAGTCCAATATTTACACTGACCACAGTGGATGATAACGCAACCGATTCAATCAGTCCTATGCAAGTGACCTACATAAGACAAACCGTAGAGTATGGTGAACATTATAATTTAATCACGCAAGTGTTCCGTATTGGGGTGCGTCCAACCATGCTCGGTAAGCGTTCAGTGAAGCTAGTATGCCAGCTGACTCACCAAGACTCCAGCGCAAAATGGACCCTAGTGAAAAGTATCTACGTTCTAACTCGGGTCAAACCCGTCATATTCCGAGACCACATCAGTACCAGTAGGCCGGTTACGACGAAAGCTTTGAAAAAACATCTTCGTGTCTTACCAACAACCACTGAAGCTTTTCATCGGAGTGCGAATCCTAACTTTGTTTTAGAAGGTGTGCTCGTCATAAAATATGTTGTCGGACTAGGGGTGCCAGAGGGATGGTCTAGCATAGACCTTTTCTATAGGCACAAAGCGCTCATCCGACGGAAACAATGCGTTACAGACCATAGAAAGCATACCAAAGACACGGTTCCGCAATCCGTGCTAAACACAGACTACTATCGAGAGTCTAATGGTACGGGACTAATTGAACATACATCCAGTTGTCTGTTAACTTCAAATGTGGTCGCCATTTTGCTAATGACCATGAGTTCGTTTGCATTTAATACGTCGGTTGAGCAACAAAAGGCGCTGTTC